GGTGAATTATATTTTTTTTTTTTTTTATTTAGCTCATAAAATTCATACAAATTACCCTGCCAGAATATAATTTACATTGTTGGAATTCTTACAATATGATGATCATTTTGAATATAAACATCATGGATTTTGCATTAGACATACAAATTTTAGTTCTAATGTAATAATTTGGTTTACACAAAGCAAATATTTTATCGCTTGTGCAAAATATATGAAGTTTACATTCAAAATATTCCCTGGCCTGCAAGGAATCCAAAAATGTCAATTATATTATTCTAACTTTAGTCTGAGGTATTATTTACTACTAAAAGTTAAAATCTAGTTTTTTCACCCAAACATTTCTCTGGTAGGGAGGGAAGGTCGGGGGTGGGGGGGAGGGTTGGGACCGACCGACCCAGCTGGCGTGAGTGTGAGGAGGGGGGGGAGGCAAGGTGGGGTACTTTGATTGACAGATAGTGTCGTGAAGAATATTTTTTTTTTTTACCTGAAGATATTTGTTTTAGCTCATAAAATTCATACAAATTACTCGGCCAGAATATAATTTACATTGCTGGAATTCTTACAATATGATGATCATTTTGAATATAAACATCATGGATTTTGCATTAGACATACAAATTTTAGATCTAATGTAATAATTTGGTTTACACAAAGCAAATATTTTATCTTTTGTGCAAAATATATGAAGTTTACATTCAAAATATTCCCTGACCTGCAAGGAATCCAGAAATGTCAATTATATTATCCTAACTTTAGTCTGAGGTATTATTTATTACTAAACGTTAAAATCTAGTGGTTTCACCCAAACATTTCTCAGAGAGGTAGGAGCTAGTGAGCTGGGAAGAGGATTTGAGTCCATTATTTGAATGGACATTAACCTGGCGACTGTATACCATCATAAAATTTAGATGTTATTTTTACTACAACTTAGGTATTGTGTCGGAAAAGTGGAGTTTGGGGGTTGGGCCAGTCTCTATTGGAATTAATCCCATATGTTCTGTTGTTCACTTTACGCGGTTTTCACTTTCCGCGGTACCCTGTGGGCTCAATTGATCGCGTAAATCAGGATACTACTGTATACAGTCAACCCTCACTTTACGCGGTTAATGTAACCCATAGGGTGCCGCGGAAAGTGAGGAACGCGTAAAGTGAATAACAACATATGGGATTAATTGAAATAGAGTCCGGGCCGACGCCCAAACTCCACTTTTTGACGACACACAACTATGTTGTAGTAAAAATATTATCTTTACTTTATGATGGTATGCACACACAATTAATATGGAAGAGGTAAGGTTAGGAAAAATAAAGGTTAGGTTAGGAAAATTAAAGGTTGGGGTTAACACTTACGTTAGTAGAAGAGATGGGGCGGCGTACGGCAATGGAGGCTGGTTCCGAGGCAGAGGGGAGGCTACTGGCCCTCAGGTGAGTCACCATCATTGTCATCCACATTTGTCAGAGCCTCCCTGACAATTCCCTCAAAGTCATCATCACTGTCTCTACCTCTGTCACTATCACTGGCTTGGGCTGGCTGTGGTGGGTTGCGGGCGAAGAACTCTGTTATGCTTTGCTGACGGCTGGTGTTTATGTTGTCGTGATAAACCTTGAAGTAGGGCTCCATAGTCTGCAACAGCTGGGTAGTGAAGATTTCATACCTGTTTGCGTCAGGGTCGTCGGAAAGGAGGAGCTTGACTTTCTCGATACACTCGATGGCACCCCTAACATTACTATGGGATAAGCGGTGTTCTTCTTGGGATGACGCACCACCTGCCTCTTCACTGACGTCATCATCATCTACCCTCTCGTCGGTAGTCACATCAGGATCCCTTATCACTTCCAGGATGTCGTCGTTGGTGGTCTCGGAGAAGCCTGCAGCTGTAACACTCTGCACAGCTTCTCTGGCAAGGTCCACTGCTACTGCAACAGTCTGAACCTCACCAGTCACAGATTGACTCTGCCTAACAGCCGGAATGCCTTGCAACACATGTCTCCATGCGTGATGAACAGTTGCTACAGACAGCTGATCCCATGCCTCCACCAAGAAGTCCACAGCTTTCTTGATGTTGAATATTCTCCAGAATTGTTTTAAAAGTACTTGTTGCTCTGCCAACTGTTGATCCTCGTCCTCTTCGCTCTTGCTATCGGTGGTGGTGTCACTCAGGTTACGCAACTCTTCCCTGGTGTTGGTGTAATCGTTCAGGAGCTTGAATTTTTTAGTAGAGAATGCAGCTTTTGCATTACAGATTAACTCTTGGTCCATGGGCTGTAATATAGACGTAGTGTTCGGAGGAAGGAAGACCACTTTTACGTTGGGGTGACGATCTAACAGTAGGGGCGAGTGTCCTGGTGCGTTGTCCAGCAGCAACAAAATCTTGAATGGCACATTCTGTTGCTCACAGAATTTCTTCACATCGGGAATGAAACAGTCATCAAACCAGGAGAGGTACTGTGTAGAGAACATCCACGCCTTACGTGCGGTCAGCCAGTGGACATTTAGCTTGGTCATGTCCATGCTCTTGTAGGCGTGCGGCTTGTGTGCTGTGTGGATCACCGATAACTTGAGCTTACAGGTACCGGAGGCATTGGTGGTAAACAGGGCGGTAATGCGCTCCTTCTGCAACTTCCGGCCCCGAATCTTGCTGGCATTCTTCACAACGAAGGTCTTGGAAGGTAGCTTTTTCCAAAAAAGACCAGATTCGTCCATGTTAAACACCTGGTCATCGGTGTACTGTCCTTCCTCCATAATCTCCTTAAAAACAGAGGAAATTCCCTAGCCGCAACACGGTCAGCACTAGCTTCTTCACCACCAATGTTGATATTGGTGATCTTGTTCCTCTTCTTAAACCTCTGTAACCACCCAGAGGAAGCATTAAAGGGTTTGGGCTCAGTAATTCCCATCTTTCGTGACACTGCAGCATACATTTCACGTGCGTACTCTTTAACAGAGCGCGTGTCGACCGCCATGTTCCGTCGCGCCTGACGCACCAAGTAGCTCACAAGTAATTTTTCCGTCTTGAGAAGCACCTGGTTGTGGAAATACTTGATCATAGAAGCACCTGTAGACTTTGTGATGTTCATGTGCTCCTTTATCTTGGCTGCATCCTTCTTTATCATCCGGATCGTAGATTCGTTCACACCATGCTGGCGCGCCAAATCAACCTGTCTTGTTCCTTTCTCCAACTCTTGGATGATCTTGTACTTCACCTTGTAGCTTAAGGAACGTCGTGTCTTCTTTGGCTTAGGGTGGCTGGGTCCAGGCAAGGAAAGGTTTCTCTCTGGGTGCGGTGGTCCGTCGGAAGCCATTTTACAGAACAATGGATGCACGATTACACGGTGTGGCCTGGAGGGATGAAACTGCCGCGGCTAGGTCAAGCGTCGTCTTTCCTCCCTCCCTCCCTCCCCCGGGTGGACACGTCATATTACTTTAAACCAATTACAGCTAGCAGCGGAGGGAGGTAGGGATGCATGGCCAATCACAGTCCGATACGTCATATGACGTCACTGATAACGCAACAGAGACATGCACTGCGCAACCTTACCGCGCGGCTTGCCCAGGCGGAGGCGGGAGCAGGTGGGTGGGGCGAATCTAAAAATAGCGTCGAGCCGGACACTCTCCGCGTAAAGGGGTACACGCACCGCGGAATGTGAGCATCCTGGGTTCCGGCAGGGTACCGCGTAAACGTGGAAACGCGGAATGTTGGACCACGTAAAGTGAGGGTTGACTGTAGTTATAAACCTTTACAACAATTATTTTTGTAATTTCGTAATTAAAAATAATATTAATGTGCGTAAGTAAGCAAGAACATAATTTTAATTCTGGAGTTGGGCTAGGTAGAATTTAGCATAATGGAGACAGCAAGTAGGCAATTCATTATTCATTAGCCTATGGGAGACCACAACTTCACATACAGGACGCAGGCTGATATTTTGAGCCATTTTCTCAGACATAAAATGCGTGTTATATGCCATGAAATACAGTACATACTTTGAAATGAAGAGGATATAATATAAAACTATTAACTAGGAAAAATGAAGAGCATGGGTGTGTATATCTGATAAGTGAATGTTGTGCGTAGGCGGTGGGTTACTTGGCTATAACTGCACGGCCGTGCTCCCTTCTAATGCCTACGCACAGCCAGCGCAGGAGTCACATGGGTGTTAGTCAGCTGGGTGACTAACAGCTGTGCCATGCTGTTCAGTGGATGGTTTCAATGTGGAAGGAGGTGTTGTCTATACATAAGATATGTGCTATTGTATTTTATGCTATGTATCAATTTTATTGTTTTTCATTGCAATAAATATGGTACCTCATCCTCATTGCCTGTGGTATTTAAACATATGATTTTGGAGGAATTTTTATTATTATTACTGTATTATTATTATTATTATTATTTTATTTTGGTGCCGGTTAGATGAATCTGCCAGTTGCATGGATTCCGTATAACCAAGATACTATTGTATTATCACTCTACAGAGTATTACAGTACAACAGTCACTCCCACACACCACCATAATCACCCCAATCACTTCAATACTCATCCCTCTCACCACACCAATAATCGCTCTTCGACACCATAATTACCCATCACCACCATGATCTCAATATTCACCCCAACACATTAAAAAATATATTACAGTAGTGTTCAAAAAGTAGTGAGACACCAGTGCTTTCCACCAATGCCTTCCACCAATAATGTACTGTACCAGGTACGTCCTCTGATGCACTACTTGATTTTCCAGGATGTACTGAAGGAGTTAAAGGTTATTTCACTACCAAACACAAAATTATTGAAACATAAAAAATTATACATATCGTATTTTTATCTTTTTATTTTTTCGCTGTCAAACAGACTTATTCTGAATCTTAGTGCTGTACAGGCATATGAAAGACTTTCTTTTAGGTAGATTACCACTGTTCTGCACAAAAATGTAATAATTTTAGATCAGTATAAATTTTGTATGGTGATGACTGTACAGTATACATTTATTTTTTTTTACAGGTGTCAAGTAAAGGTAACAGGAGAGATGATGTTGTCCTTTCCTGCAGGCATCGTTGGTGTACTTACCAACAACCCATCTCCTGCACAACTTTCATTTAAGGTCAACAACTTTGCTAAAGTTAACAGTGTTTTACCCAACAAGCAGCTTATAACAATGTAAGTGAGCCTCTCTTAATTTTTTTTATAGAACTTGTTTTCTTTTAATCAACTGTTTCTTTTTATTACCTTTTTTCCTTTGTGATTCACATATGTTATTACCCAACAAAGTCACAAGATCATTTGAGGTAAGATCCAGGAAACACCAAGACAGTTGTGGATGGGTTTAATTTACTAATTAGTTTACTGAAACTAGAGTTCTAAGAAGGGGACTTGGAGACAAAAGTGTCCATTTAAGATTAAAGGTAACAAGTCATGACATCACTTCATCTGTGTGCACCTTGCCTGTCTCTTGCCAGAGGGCATAAGCTGTAATTTCTAGATCAAACTGTTGGTTCCAGCCACCTCACTACATGGTGAAGTCTTGGATTAGCTCCACTCTCTCCTTTGAAAAGAGCTAGCACAGGAGAGGCTTGTTATAAGTCAATATTAATTAATCTTGGGCACAACTACAATGTCTCCCATCATACACAACCAACAATTGTTGATAAGTATAATTTATTTTCATTGGTCCTGAAGCTTTAATAAAACGTAAAAGTCGAAACCTAATTTTGAACAATGAAGCTGGCATTATCAGCTAGCAAGCCAGTGGTAGTACAGCAGGATGTTAGTGAGTACGTAGCTAAGTGTAATGATATGTTTGTGGTATGGAGGACACAAAAAAAAAGAGTAGATTGCAAGCTGCTGAGGACCTCACACCCAATCCTTCCTACTTTTTGTTGGGTAGAAGTGCAGGATGCAAAGCGGCGGTTAATGGGACGTTGGTTTATGGGATATACCTGCATGACTGTAAGAATTGTGTGTGCATCAACACATTCTCTGAAATTCTTTTCTCGTGTTTGTTGAGAATGTCCAATTTCTCCTTAATGGACAGTCTTTTTGCTGGGCCTCTTGTCGACCCCTTGTTGCAATGGGTTTTTTCTGTAGCTTTCAGCATTTTACACATATACACAGCACAGTACCATATGTATGGTACTTAGGCTACAGTACACAAACACTGCCACTCTGCTTTGCGCAGTACCATATATACAGGAAAGCCTCCAATAATGACGATTCATATTTAAAATCCTGGCTAATTTATGACCCAATTCAATTTACATCGTTATTTTATTCGTATTTACAACAAAAATGGAATAAAAAATAAAATAAAATTACATTTTCACAAAATAATAACCAAATCCCGATAAGTATTATACAAATATAGAAAATAAAGCACGCCTTGTGCATGGAGGCTGCCGGGCTTGTGTGTGGTGACTCCAACATCAATAGTATAAACAGTCGCAGCTTGGCGGGCCTTTTGTTTTCATGCATCTGAACAGGAACAGGAGAAAAACTTTCTCAGGTTTCTTACGGCATTTTTGTGTCCCTATTCAACATGAGCAAGAGAGCAAGTGATGGTGGTGCTGGTTAAAAAGCTAAAAGAAAGTGTATAAGCTTAGTCGAGATACTAGATGTGTTAAAACGATATGAACAAGGTGAGAGGTCTGTGGATATTTCAAGCGCTTTGGGGATGGCAGAATCAACAATGAAGACTATCCATAATAATAGAGAAAAAATTTAAAAAAGTGCTCTGTCTACAACTCTGTTAAGTGCAAATAAAGTTTGCCAAAGCAGGAGTGAGGTTATGGAAGAAATTGAGAGACTTTTAAGTATATGGATTGAAGAAAAAATCAGAAGCATACTCCATTGAGCACTGTTATTATTCAAACAAAAGCCCTAGCATTGTTTAACGATCTTAAAAATACAAGTTAAAGTGAAAGTGTTAAAACTGAAAAACTCAGTGTGAGTCGAGGCTTGTTTGCTAGGTTTAAACAATGCCACGAGTTACATAATTTAAAAATCACTAGTGAGGCAGCAAGTGGTGATTCATCTGCTGCTGCTTATCCAGAAGAACCATGCAAAATAATCGAGGAAAGCGGCTACTTGCCCAGTCAATTTTTTAATGTTGATGAAACAGGACTATATTGGAAAAGAATGACTTCCTAGACATTTATTTCCACAGAAGAAAAAGCTGCACCAGGATTCAAAACAGCCAATGATCGTATCACACTCCTCTTGGGTGGTAATGCAGAAGGTGACTTTAAACTCAAACCTCTTACTGTATATCACTGAAAACCCTAGATTATTCCAAGGTGTGTGTCAACAAATTTGGCCAGTAATTTGGCAGTCAAACAGTAAAGCATGGATGACAATGACTCTTTTCGTTGGTTGGTTCAAAAAGTATATTTGCCCAGCATTAAAGGAATACTGCGCCAAGAAAAACATAACACACATGACACTGCTTATATTAGATAATGCCCAGGCCACCCAGCTCACTTAAATGAATTGTTTGAACATGTACAAGTTTTTTCTTCCACCAAATATCACGTCCATACTTCAACCTATGGACCAAGGTGTTATATCATCATTTAAGGCCTGTTATTTATGCCATGCCATATCTCAACTGATTGAAGAAACAGATGGTGCTGGAAAGCCATTCATAAAAGAATTTTTGCATGGATATCATATTCTAAAAGCTGTTAAAACATTGGAAAGTCATGGAAGGAAGTAACAAAAGGGAACATGAATGGTGTGTGGAGGAAATTATGGCCAGAATGTGTAAAAACCTTCAAAAGTTTTGAGGAAACCATGCCAAACATGCAAAGAAATATTGTTGAGCTTGCCAAGCACATTGAAGGATTTGAAGAAGTTGATGAAGAGAATGTTCAGGAGCTATTAAACAGTCACAAATAAGACCTAACTAATGAAGAACTTATGCAATTTGAACAAGAGCATGACTGGACCACAAACACACCAATAGATAGATACCTCAACCTCACCTTCTCACAAATTTATGACAAAGGGTTAGCAGAAGCATTTGATACATGGAGCAAGCAATGAACATATTTTCTGAAGTGGATCCATAAACAGGACGAGACATTAAAATTAACATGGATGTGAAAAATGCATATGACCCCTACATAAAGATGTATAATGAGAAAAGAAAGCAGTTGTGCAAGGTTCTTTAGACAGTTTTATTATTTGAAGGCCTAAACCATCAACATCAGCTACAACTACATCGTCAACTTCAGGTACAGCTACACTGTCAACTTCAGGTACAGCTAAACTGTCAACTTCAGGTACAGCTACACTGTCAACTTCAGGTACAGCTACACTGTCAACTTCAGGTACAGCTAAACTGTCAACTTCAGGTACAGCTACACCATCAACTTCAGCTACAGCTACACTGTCAACTTCAGCTACAGTACACCATCAACTTCAGGTTCAGCTACACCATCAAATTCAGCAGCAGCTTCAGCAACAACTACAGGTTCAGTAACAGCTTCAGGTTCAGCAACAGCTATGGCATCTTTATGGAAAGCTACAACTTCAACCTGAGTTGAACCTACAGCTTCATATGGATAACTTGATGACTTAGGAACTTCGTCATCTGAGTAAAACCTCACACAACAACATTGGCTGCCCTTATGTTTTCAACTTTACCACTATTGGTGAGTAGAATTTTTGTTTTACATTCTTAAGCATTAATTAAAACATATATGAACAGTAATAAATGTTGCTTTCATATTCTTATGTAGAGAAATGACGCTATGTTTTCACGTGTGCGCACTTACATACATTGGCGTTGCGCAATCCTCTTTTTTTCTTTTTCTTTTTTTTTTACTGTTAGTAGTTAGCTACTTGTATTGTTCCATATATTTACATTAAATAACATTAATTAAAGCATACATATTCTTTTTATTTTTTACATTAATTTTACTATAGCTAGGATCTTATTTTCTTCAGTTTCCTTTTGTAAACACTAACGAAAACAATGCCGTCTCGTCTCTTATTTGTGTTTTAATATTCTACATATTATTAAAGAATTGATTTTTCATTTTGTGCACAAACATTAATTCAATCTAGTAGACATTATCAGTAATAAACAATAATGAATCTTTTGTACATAAGAGAAATAATGCTGTTTCCATGAGTGTGCACGTAATACATACACACATACTGTACATACGTTGGCCTTCTGCTATCAGTCTCACTCTTTTTCTTTACCATCACTGGTTACTTCTACTGTACATACATTAAATATCATTAATTAAAAAAAATATATATTTTTTTTTCACAATAATTTTACTACACCTACAACCAGGGTCTTATTTTCTTCAGTTTCGGATGGAGAACCATTGTCATGGGTGTAAACACTGACAACACCAATGGTGTCCCATCTCTTCTTGTGTGACTACATATTATTATTGATTTGTATTGAATAAGGTGCATTAATAACCATTATTTACCGGTAATTAATATGGTTTTTATTTTTCATTCCTTTTCCTTTTCGGGGGTTAAAAAGTAACACAAAATATGTGAAAACGTCACACTAGGGAACGCATATTATTATTGCTCTATCTTAATGGTCATTAATGATTCATGATACAATGATTCACCTTACACTGCAATATTGGAGGGCACATTACCATCGTTATTCGAGGCTTTACTGCACAGTGCTCACACAAACCATGTTAATTCACATTAAATTACTACACTGTAATCACTGAATGTCTTAACTCTGGTTTAACACAGTATTCTTGGTTGATTGGGTCCTGATACAGTACTGCAGATCATAAATTTATGCAAAAGCAGCAGCAAGTGAGGAATCGACCTTGTACAGTCTCGTTCAAGATTCTTCGAACACTGCTGGAGACAGCTGGCAACTCAAGGCCATTTGTTTACTCTAGTACGTAATATAATATGAAACAACAAAGACCAACCAGTAAATTAAGCAATAGGGAACTAAGTAACCAGTCACCGATCACTTTTACATTTATTCTCATTTTTTGCGGCATACTATAGTAAACAAACGGCCTTGAGTTGCCAGCTGTCTCCAACAGTGTTTGAAGAATCTTGAACGAGACTGTACAATGGCAGAGGACTATGAACTAAGTGCATCATGATGCTAAACTTAGAGGGGATAAGCTGGGAGGTGCATCAGCCTGTCACAGGCATTCCATGACAGCATTAGCCAATGGCAGCATGTGAGCCTACAGCCCAAGTTAGCCAGTCTGCTAGTCCACCCACACGCCTGTCATATCGGGATGCAGCGGAGCATGATGCAATCTCGGAACACCCGGAATATTTGTTCCCAGGAACAGAAAGGCTTGGAGAGAGTTTCACAGAATTTTTCCGGAATTTGGTCATGATTTCATCCTCGGAAATCATCCCAGGCTCAGAATGGAGAGGTTTGGAGAGATTTTATCATACTTTTTCTGGAAAATATGCCTGATTTTCATCTCTGGAAACTTTATACGGATCCTGGATAGAGAAAGTTTTCTCGGAAAATTTTTACTGGCTGATTTTCATTCTGGCTATTGAAGAGTTCCAGGACTGGGGATTCTGGCTAATGAAGAGATTATTTACACAGTATTCCAGTATCACTGGAGTTAATTGTACTACAGTGACAGCTGTTGCGTACTCTCTATGACTTATTTTAGATTAATTTGTAATTATTGATGGAAGATAATACAATCTAATACGTAACCTAACCTAACCTAATATTATTAGGACCCTTACTATGGGAGTGCAATGTGATTTTTTTCTTTGAAACTGTATTGATATAGAGACACTGATGTAAAAATTAATTATCTATTCACTTGTATTATTGATAAGAATCACATCATTTAGATTGTGTAATAGGGCCTACTGTAATTAGAAGTTAAAGTAAAGATTCTACTTATGTATGAGAAAGTTGTATAGCATTACTGTACTTGGTAATGGGAAGTTATAGTTAAATCAGTATGTGATGATGATGTTAAACAGTAATATATTGATGCATTTTAACAACTAAGATCTTCAATAGTATATTCTAGATTAGTACACACACTAGTCATCAACAGTTTAAAATTAAGAGAGTTATATCTCGCCTGAATTTTGTGTGATTATAGGAAAAGGTGTTCATCATAATAATTTATAATAATTTTTGCAGGGATAATGATCAATCAACACCAGAATGTGGAGTTTTCAACTTTAATATGAATGCACTCACCTCTTTGTTGAGAAAACAAGCTGAAAATAATCCCTCTGCATCATACTTCAATGTTGACATGGTCAAATATCAGGTAAGTTTGGTATGAAGTATGGTATTGTGGTATTGTATACAGAACACTTGCTGAGAAGCCTTGTGTGTCAGTGAAGTGTGTACTATATAGATGTGTAGGTTAAGGGTTTTGAAGAAGGAAGGTAGATCATCATGCAAATTATTTCAATTTTTTATCATTGAGTATATGTACTGGATAATACAGTACAAGATTACTTTATACTGTAGAATCCCAGTTTTCTGGTACAGTAGAACGTTTATATAACACGAGATACATTCCAAGAGAGGTCGCTTTAAACTGAATTCGCACTAAATCGAAGTGTTGTTTCAATGGAATAATTTAGTTTGGTACTTGAGAGAAACACAAAATACTAAAAAGACTGAGAGTCTACCCAGATGCACCTCAGCCCATCTCCTAGAATAAACAAAACATTGTTTTTTGTAGTATTATGTTAAAACAAACACTCATAAATCAACACAGCTAAAATTATGGAACGTGAAATGGTCTGTTTACTTGCGATCAGCTGATGTGGGTGGGGGAGTATGTTTGACAGTTGATGCCTAGGTCAGGTGCTTATTTATTTATCTGTCCTTAAGAGTGACTTTTAAGTTTTCTCTTATAGAATGTCACTAAACTGACCTGGGAGAATATAATTAACATTGCTGGAATTATTATAATACTATAGTGATTAGTTTGAAAATAAACATGCTATAGTTTGCATTACACATACAAATTTTAGTTCTAACTAATTTTATTAAAAAAGGCTAAAATTTTTATCTCTTGTGCAAAATATATGATGTTTATATTCAAATTATTCACTGTCTTGCAAGCATTCTAGCAATGCAAATCATATTCCCCTAACTTTAGTCTGTGAAATTATATAAGATAAAAACTGGAAGCCTATAACCACCAAACCCTGGCAGGGTTGATGGGGGGGGGTGACAGTGACACGTTTGACAGTTGGGGTCGAAGGTCTAGTGAAGTATTTATTTGTTTATTTATGTCCTTTAGATTGAGTTTTCGTTTTATGCTTATAAAATTTCATTGAAGTGACCGAGGAGAATATAACTTACATTGCTGGAATTCTTATTTGATAGTGATTAATTTGAATGTAAACATACAATAGTTTTCCTCAGACTAAAATTTTAGTATTCATTTTGTACATTATTTTGATTACATGTACAATACAGCTTTGCCCTTAAGACAGTGTGTGTGCATGTAAATGAGTTTCAATAAATGAATAAAGTTACATATATCGAGCCAAAAATAATAGTTAAAAACTTAATGTAGACAGAGCTTGGATGGCTAAATTTTAGAATGACCAATATTTTTAATATAAAAATGCACAAATATTAAAGAGCACAATTTCCTTGATATTTACTCCACTGGAAACGAATGTAAACATAGTACAGATTACTGAATTGGCAGACTAGACCATCAGCTGATGCTCACAACAAAACGTGATGTTCGTAAGGATTTCGTTAATTGAATTTTTGTTCATTAACTAAATTGAAGATTCTTAAGTAATTAACCATGAACATGTTTCTTCTTCTTGTGGTTATCAGCATAACCTAGATCAGAGTACCTACAGCGATTTACTTATATATTTATTTATATATATATATATATATATATATATATATATATATATATATATATATATATATATATATATATATATATATATATATATATAGTTATTGAACACCAGGGTGAACAACAGAACATATGGGATTAATTCAGCAAAGCCAGCCCGACTGAAACCCACTTTTTGACACACAACTATGTGTAGTAAAAATTCTATCTTAACTTATGATGGTATGAAAAAACAAGTAATATAGAAGAGGTTAGGTTAGGAAAGATAAAGGTTAACATAGGAAAATGAAGGTTACTAGAAACTAAAGTTAGGTGAACCTTCGGTAGTAGAAGAGATGGGTCGACACGGGATGGAGGCTGGTTCGAGGCAGAGGGCAGATTACTGGCCCTCAGGTGAATCACCATTACTGAATCAACATCACTGTCTTACAGTTGTCAGGGCTGGCAAATCCCCTCAAAGTCAACTTCACTTTCTATATCACTGGCTGGCTGTGTGTGGTGGGTTGCGGGCTGAAAACTTCGGTTATGCTTTGCTGGCTGGCGATGTTGTCATGATACAGCGGAGTACTGGCTCCGCCTGCAGTCGGGTATGGGACTTGCAGCGTTCATCGTCATTGTCGCGGAAAAGGCGGATATTTTTTCGCAAACTCTGGCACACTTAATATCACTATGACTTACGGTTCTTGGAGAATAACGCTTCTCCTCCTCTTCACTGGCGTGTTCTTCTTAACATCTCGTGGCATTCTTCAGGATCTTTGATCACCTCCAGGATGTCTTGCTGGTGGTCTGGAGAAGCCTTCATTTTATAATTGGCGCAGCTTCTCTGGCAAGGTCCACTACTGCAACAGTCTGAACCTCACCAGTCACAGGTCACTCCTCCTCTCACCTTGTTGCCATGCAACACATGTCTCCATCCGGCAGATATAGCAATAGTCAGCAGATCCCATGCCTCACCAAAGTCTACAGCTTGTTTAACGTTAAACTTCTTCAAAATTGTTTGCGAGAAGTTCTTGAGTCACCGCCTCTTGTTCCTTGTCTCGCTTTCTCTCTCGCTGTCGGTGTCACCCAGCTTCGTAACTCATCCTTGGTGTTGGTAGAGTCGTTCAGGAGCTTGAACTTCTTTGCAGAGTCTTGTAGCTTTACATTGCAGATCAACTCCTGGTCCATGGGCTGGATTAATGACGTGTGTTGGGAGGAAGGAAGACCACTTTTCGTTGGGGTGACGATCCAAGTAGGGCGAGTGTCCAGGTCGCGTTGTCGAGGAGCAACAAAATATTGAATGGAACATTCTGTTGCTCGGGAATTTCTTCCGCCGAGAACAAAACAGTCGTCAAACAGAAGAGGGACAGAGAAGAAGACATCCACGCCTTTCGTCAGTTAGCAGTGGACATAAGCTTGTTCATGCCATTCTTTGCGTCCGGCTTGCGGGCTGTGTGAATCACCGATAACTTTCGTTTACAGGTACCGGAGGTGGTGGTAAACAGGACGGTGATGCGTTCCTTCTCTGCTTCGACCCTTGCACCTGTAGACTGGACTTGAAAGGTCTTGGAAGGTAACTTTTTCCGAAAGACCGATTCGTCCATGTTAAACACCTGGTCGTCCTGTACCTGTCCTTCCTCACAATCTCCGCGTAAAAACGGAGGGAAAATCTCTACCGCCACCACGGTCAGCACTCGCTTCCTCACCACCAATGTTGATGTTGGTGATCTTGTTCCTCTTCTTAAACCTATGCAGCCAACCAGAGGAAGCATTGAAGGGTTTGGGCTCTGCAATTCCCAGTTCTGACACTGCTCATTATGGCTCCGTGCGATCTCCTGCACTGGCGGCGTGTCCGCCATGTTGCGTAGCCTGATGCACCAAATATCACCAGCATTTTTTCCACTTTTGCCAGCACCTGTTCTGGAAATACCTGATAGATGACACCTGCAATTTTGTGATTTTCCGCTGATCTTGGCTGCATCCTTTTGATAATGCAGATTCATTTGGCGCTCATGTTGGTAGCCGAGATCAACGCGTCTTCCTTTCTAAATCTTGAACAATTTGGTACTTCATCGTAACAATGAGCGTCGTGTCTTCTTTGGGCTTAGTGCCGCTGGGTCCAGGTAAGGAAAGGTCTCTCTTGGTCGGCGGAAGCCATTTTTACGGAACAATGGAAGCGCGTTTACAGGTGTGCGCCAGGGGATCAAACTGCCGGCTGGAATGCATATCCTCCTCCTCCTCTCTCCTCCCTCTGGGTTCATTCGTCATAATACTTTGAACAATTCAGTAGCAGCAGAGATGCCAGCAATCACAGTCCGTCCATCATATGATCAGTGATAACTACAACAAAGACACCTCGCCAGCCTTGTGGCTTCACTAGCGAGAGCAGGCGAAGCCGGGTGGCGTGCAAATAAAAATAGCATCTCGAGCGGACACTCACCGTATAAGGAAAAATCCGTGTTAAGTGAAAGGTTCAGCTCTTGCAAGGCATACGTATATGCAACTAGGTTAAGTGAAACGCGTTAAAGTAATACTGTATATATATATATATATATATATATATATATATATATATATATATATATATATATATATATATATATATATATATATATATATATATATAAGAAATCACTGTGAGTCTTGGTGATCTGGGTATATGCTGATAACCGGAAAAACACAGTTCTAAGCTTTAGTGTAATTCACATCTTCTCAGGGGTGAGTACAGACTAGAGAGATAATACAAATCAAGGTGTATATATACAGAGGAGGGTGAACCAGGTCACAATTCAGGTATTAGGTAATGGCCCTACTAATCTTAAATAGCACCTAGCAGTTGGTGGTCAGGTCAGATGGTCAAGTGACCCGTTCTCACCTGATCAAAATCTTCTTAATTACAAATTGTCCATCTTGCCGTTATCAAATTCATGTTGAATGCTTGTATGTTTAATAAGACGAGATTCTATGATGTTCCTACTGTCAATTGACTTACATGTTAATATTGAGGAGGCATTATCCCAGTCAATGCAATGCTTGTATCCCTCAAATGAACAAACAGAGCATTGGATTCCTGGCCTGTCCTAACACTGTATTTGTGTTGTTTAATTCTAGTGCAGATCTACTGTCTGGCCTAAATAAACATACATTCTTGCAAGGAACTTTTAATATGCCAATTGTGTTGTTGGGGAGTTCTTGATTAACATTTGTTTAACAGTGCATGAGTTTTTAAATGCCACATTGACGTTCAGGTTTTAGCTGTGCAGAATGTGAGAAATTAGTATTATTGGTAATATATATATGGTCATGGGTGGGCTTGGTCCAGTTCTATAAAAATTTTTGTGTGTTTAAGCATTTGTCTAGAAAGATATAGGTATTTAAGGTTTGAGCCAATATTATATATATATTTGTATTCCTCATCGATGAATTCGGACTGCAAATTCTCAAGGCAACATTGTTGAAAATACTGACTGTTTGACTTTATTATGGTGGGCAGAATAATAATGAATGTATGAACACATTAGTTGGTTTTCAATAATATAGACCCGACTTACGACAGGGTTGGGGACCCAAATCCAGGTTAAAAAGTCCGACATAGCAAAAAATAATAATATATTATTTTTTTTAATAAAAATACAATGACAGTACAGTAAAAGTAATAATAATGAAATGGATGCAGTGTTGAGCACTTGCTTTAATGTGATAAGCTGAATACATGATTCCATAATTTTCTAATTATACATAGAATATTAAACTGAAAATGTTTGGTGCATAGAAAATCATCCTTTCTAGGTGTAAGTTAATAGAATCAAGGTCTCTTATATATATATATATATATATATATATATATATATATATATATATATATATATATACTAGACCGACTTACATCTGATAATTTCACGACTTCGTCAGACTTCGACTCGTCAGGACTGACGCCTCAGATAAAAAAAAAAAAAAAAAAAAAAAATTTTCTATTCTTCAAAAGTTTTCAGTTAATGTAGTCTCCATGTATAAATTAGAAAAATTATGAGACTGATATTAAAGGTTAAGTGCTCCAGTCACATATCCTTCCTTGTATTTATTACTTTCACTTATATGTATCCGATATTATTATTTATTCTTTTTATATTTATTAGATTTTTTATTAAAAAATTACTCGGACTTACGACCATATCGGACTTGACCTGGATTTGGGTTCCTAACCCCGTCGTAAGTCAGGGTTTAGTATATATATATATATATATATATATATATATATATATATATATATATATATATATATATATATATATATATATATATATATATATATATTAGGTCCAAAACTATATGGTAAAAATATAAGTAGTAATATATTGCTCCTAAGCCTTAAATTGTCCATGTGGTTCATAGATAAGGTCTGAAATTTTATCCATATTCATTAACATTTAGAGGTCAATCCATTTTGCATATTATACTTGTAGTGTAGGACTGAATTTTCTTGTCATATATAGTCTTAATATACACAACACATTATATTGGGTATATTTCAATGTATATAGCCTAGTTGCCTATTTGGAAGGGCAAAGAGTCAGAGTATTGAGTCATAGGACTGACAATGACAGGTTGAAACAGGAAACACAGACAAGAGTTACCATTAATCAGATGGAGTTGTATTTCATTTTATATCTCATCAGTTCTCCAATTATTTCATTATCAATCTAAATAGTATATTATGCAGGTTTCATCTTGTGTCATGGCATATGAATGGCAGGCAATTATTACCTGTAATATTAGACTTAGTTACAGATTTTGTAAGGTTTCCTTTGGGTTCCTGGTCCTACACATGCAGATGGGATGGCAAAGGAATCATATATCTATCTGTTCAAATATCAATTCACATTATCATGCGGAAAAACAATATCACAACTGGCTTTGTTGATGAGCATAATGTATGTGAGATTCTGAGCAGACACCAATGGCTGTTGAGCTCCATTCAACTGATTTGCAGCTAATAGAAGGTTTGAAAGAATATATCCTCATGAAAGTTGCACCTTAACACAAGCAGCAATTAGCCGACATCTCTGGTATCTATCAGAACATCTTATCGGTCTAAGCGTATTTGATGACGGATGATACTGAAACCAAGAAGAATATTGTACAATTCCAGTGCCCAAAGAAACAGGACTTTTTCAAGTATTATGCCCTTCTGATGAAACTCTCTACAGTAATGTGGCCTCATTTTTTACTCAAGCGATGCGATAGATATTTTGATGTTCTACTAGATGGCAAAGAAACACAACTGTTCTTGAGTAAGGATCCCCAAAACATGGAAAAGCGATGAAGTGTTTATCACAATGAGAATCGTCGATAAATATGAAGGTGGTGAATGACAGGCAGAGAGGGCAATTGCTCATAGGCGTTATAATAGTCTATATATAAAGAGGACAACAGTACCTTTTCAGGTTGTTGCAGCTCATCATGAAAGTTACCAACTGGCAAGCAAAGCTGCTATAATGAAGGGATACAAATAAAGAATGTGTTTAGTGTTCTAGAGTTATTTAGTTTGTAATTTGTAAAACTTATAATTGTATTTTGCTGAATAAAGACTATTGTGTTTTATAATGTTTATCTGGCCCAGAAAAATCCTTATTAAGTACTAAATGGAAAAAGAGGACAGGTTGACCTCTAAATATGCTTTAAATGATCCAATTTTTTTCGGATTGTTTTGTACCTAATGGACAAAAATAAACCTTGTGGAGAAAAGTATACAATATATGTGTTTGGACCACAGTAAAATATATATATATATATATATATATATATATATATATATATATATATATATATATATATATATATATATATATATATATATATATATATATATATATATATACAAGTAAATCACTGTATGTAGGCGTGATCTGTATATGCTGATAACCACAAGGAAAGAAAGACCTGAGTTCCCAAGCGCTTTCGTGTGCCATCTTCAGGGTTTGACAAGGCCTGCAAGCCTCTCTGTGGTGGTGTGAATTGATACAAGTGATACAGGTGGGGCCAATAATCTGCCTCCTTTCGAACCATCCCGTGCTTTAACCATCTTTTCTACTTGTGAAGTGTTAAAAATAACAAATGTTATCTTGATATTAATTATATGTGCATACCATCATAAAATTAAGATGTTTATTTTGACTAAAAGTGCGTGTTGTGTGGAAAAAAGTGAGATTTGGAGTTATTTGATCTATTTCAATTAATCCCTATGTTCTGTTATTTCATTAACACATTTCTGGTTTCTTGGACTTCGGTTCAATTGATATAAATCCAGACTATACATGAGTAGATAATTTTAGTAACACAATGGTTTTTTATGATATTTTATACTGCTTGTTTTTGTAGCGTCCAAAGTGGGAGAAGGTCTTGGTCCCAAGCATTCAGAATTTTAGAGGTTCGACTGTATCACATTCTTAAGATAATGTTGACATGGATGGTTTTTCCATGCTGGATATATGACCAAGAAGTTTTTTAAATTAATTTTACATTCATTTGTAAAAAAAATATATTTTATTTTTTACATTTGTTTTGTTCTTACAGTAAGTACTAATTAATTTAACTAATCTTAACAGGTGAGACCCATGAATGGAGCTAGTTCATGCCACTGAAGTTGGTTTCAGATGGAAAATGTGAAATACAGCCACACTGACTTTAGAGACTACAAGTAATATCCTCATGCTATTGCCTCCCCTTCTCCCTTACTGAATGTAAATGTAACAGTACCCATGGATGGTGTTGTTAAAAACATGCAGTCCAAACCCCCAGGCCAGTGGTAAGTTGGAATCTTGTGTAGTAATGAGAATAGAAATTATATATATATATATATATATATTATATATATATATTTTTTTTAATTAATTGGATAATTTCATTTGTAGTGTTTTTAAGAATTCTAGTCTAGGTTATATTCTTAAATTATGTATACAGTATTTGGGAATGCCCAAGTGGGATGTTGTAACCCCCTTCGTGTGAAAAGTGAAAGTCCACGTCTTTCAGAGAGAAAGTGTAATTACTATTAGACATGGGAGCAAGAGAGTTGTGCAAGTGATAAGAAGATGTGCATATTGGTTACTAGCATCTAGTTGATCCCTCACCCCTAGCACCAACTACCCCCCTCCACCACTTCCCAGTCCCTACGGGTGGAAGAATAGGTCAGATAGACAGAATGGGAAGACACAAATAGATAATTGATGCTGAAATTGTCCGTAGCCTTATGAGGCACAGGTGTTGCCATCTATTTTATGTATGAGTGTGATAAATATTTACGGTACATATACTATGCAGTGGGGTCTAATTTTGCGTTGGTATATCATATTGGCACGCGTTCATGCATCAGAAATCCGTGCAGACGCTGCCCATTAACACGTGTTAAAATTGCAATATTGAATTGGACTCGCCAAACCTTTACTCTTAAACGACTTTGAGTAATCAAATTAACTTTCCAAAAATGACACATAATGGCAAATAAACTGCATTTCCATTATTAAATAAAAATTTTAAGAAATCCCAGGAAAAGTTTGTGAAGCTCTGGGAAACAATGGGGTTCCGAGGCAGGGGATGAAAGCAAGTCGAATTCAAAGCATTCAAAATCAATTTCAGATACATAAAATTGAATTCAACTTCATCACCAATCTCAAGAGTGGCAGGGTCATCATCACTAGATTCTCCTTGATCTTCATCATATAGTAGAGTCGGAAAATTGGCAGTGATGAGAGCTTGGCTGAGGTGTTTAATAAACTCCTGGTGACGTTGCCTGTAAGGTTCCAATAAACTGTCTAACCATGCACTAAGTTTGTCACTACATAGCAGGCTGGGCTCAACACTCATTAAAGCATCCTTGAGTTCTTCAACCTTGCTGAGAACTTGCGTCACCTGCCGCTGAGTCATGCCTTCCTCAGTTTGCTCTGGTACCGCCACACCACCAACACTTCCTTCCACCGCCTCAAACTCATTTTCCTCGTCTTCCATATCCCACAGCATGTCGTCTAGTGAAGTGGATTCCTCTGTCTCTCCGATAACTTTCATCACATTGTATGCGTATTATACACCTCCTCCCCAACTTAGGACTGGGTTAGGGACCCAAATCCAGGTCGTAAGTCGAAAATGCTTAAATAATACAGTGGGGTATGCTATAACGAACGGATCCTACTATGAATATTCCTATAACGAACGGTTTTACCTATAAAATTGAGAATGCTATAACGAACGCAACTCCTACAACGAACGCGGATGAATACGGGACTATTTCGCCTGGCGCATGAATATTGTTGTACCGCGACCCACAACAAGAGCGTCAGGCGCCATCTTTGTCTCATTGTGTAGCCAGTGCACCACTGTTATTGTTGAAATTTCGTCTTTTGATGTGGAAATTCGCGTTATTTGTATAACTATTTTGTTATACAAGTATACAATTGTAACAATGAATCGTCCAAAGCGAGTGAGAAAGCTAATAACCCTTGAAACTAAGAAAGAAATTATAAAGAAACGTGAGAATGGAAGAAGCATTGCAAAACTTAGTGATGAATATGGGATGGCTAAATCGACTATATGTACGATTTTGAAGAATAAAGAGGAGTTAAAAACTGTGCAAGTGGCTAAGGGAATCTTTAGACTTAGCAAAGCAAGAGTGTAATGTGATTGAAGAGATGGAAAATTTACTCTTAGTGTGGATAAAGGAGAAAGAAATGGCAGGTGGTAACATTAGTGAAGCTATAATTTGTGAGAAGGCCAGACAATTGTTTGAGGACCTTAAAGCCAAGACTCCCAGTGGAAGTGATAGTGATGTGCCAGTGTTTAGGGGTACCTGCATGCTGAATAACACTAAGGTAAGATAAAGTACCGTATTTTTTACATTTTCCACAGAATTTTTTCAGTGTTAAGTGGTTGTATTTGGGGGCCTGGAATGGATTAATCCTATAACGAACGAATGCTATAACGAACAAGGTTCTGGAACCAATTACGTTCGTTATAGCATACCCCACTGTACATAGAAAATCTAAAGTGGGTGTCTCTTTTTCTTCTCAGCACCACAAAACTCTCACTTTTAAGCTTGCCAGCCATTTTAAAGTGAATTTCAAACGAAATTTTTTTCAGTACACAGCGCAATCACTGACGTTGGGACTCGAAAATACGTAATTTGATAAAATTTTGGTACAACTGAGGCGGTCGTATGTCCGGGTGGTCGTTAGTCTGGGAGGAGCTGTAATTGGCACACTTATTTTACAATGTATCAGTACAGTACTATACTGTAGAACGTCGATATAACACGAAATACGTTCCAAGAGAGGTCACTTTAAACCGAATTCGCACTAAATCGAAGTGTTGTTTCAATGGAATAATTTAGTTTGGTACTTGAGAGAAACACAAAATACTAAAAAGACTGAGAGTCTACCCAGATGCAACTCAGCCCCTCTCCTAGAATAAACAATACATTGGTTTTTGTAGTATTATGTTAAAACAAGCACTCATAAATCAACACAGCTAAAATTAAGGGATGCGAAATGGTCTGTTTACTGGCTGGGAAGATGGGGGGAGGGGAAGGGAGGGAGGAAGGGGAAGTGACAGTGACATGTTTGACAGTTGACGCCGAAGGTCTAGTGAAGTATTTATTTGTTTATTTATGTCCTTTACCTTGAGTTTCTGTTTTTTGCTTATAAAATGTCACAGACATGACTGGTGAGAATATAATTTACATTGCTGGAATTCTTCTAAGATAGTGATTAATTTGAATATAAACATGCTATAATTTGCACGAGACAAAAATTTTAGTAATCATTTAGTACATTATTTTGAGTACGTGTACAGTGCAGCTTTGCCCTTAGGACAGTTTAGCGTGCCCAGAGAAACATTAGGTGCAAAATTTTAAATTTGATGAGCCAGATTGACTTGCGCAAAATAAAAAAATTTGCTTTAAATTAAAACATTGTCCTTAATTGTGCATGTCGCTTTAAATCAATTATCTTAAATTGAATCGCCTTAAATCAACGTTCTACTATAATTGATAAATAATAAAAAAACCGAATGACAAAAGCGACAACGACCAGTCCTCCCCCCCCCCCTCCTTTCCTTTGTGGAGGGAGAGAATCAGTGGTCAGGGACAAGATTACTTTCTGATTCGGCTTGTCCTCTTATTTTGAAGTCAAATTTCAAATTAAGCATTGTATTTTTTTCTATTATTTAATGTTTTATATTATTAATAAGTGGCTGATCATGCGAAAATATAGAAATGAGTAAATGAAAATAAAACTGACGAATGCAGCAGCAGCCAGTTCTACCCCCCCTCCAGCACCTGTTTGCATGAAGTGTCATCTCTTGTACCTATTAGCTCTCGTTAGGCCAATATTGAATCTGATGAGACCACTGGACAGTATCCCCATTAAAGACTAAGGTATTATATTTTATAAAAAATATATTTAGTTCAATCCAGAATGCGATGTCTAGCTTTTATACCCGCATATATATATATATATATATATATATATATATATATATATATATATATATATATATATATATATATATATATATATATATATATATATATATATATATATATATATATATATATATATACACTTCATTTTTAGTCCATATAACACGCGGACTTTGAACATATAATCAACGACCTCACCAGCCAGGAATCGAACCCTCAACCTACTGGGTGGGACTAGGGAATGCTACCGACCAACCCACAAGGACACTAAAAGCAGTCCTAGACTCTGTTATATTTCACACAAAGCCTGTTCATCGAGCTGATGGCGCCGTGAACCTCATTGGGAACCGCCCGTGCCTCGTATGTGGTGTCAGTAGCATTTTACCGAATCCAGCTAGTATGAAACACGAGGTACCATATATATACTTCATTTTTAGTCCATATAACACCATACCAGCTGGATTCGGTAAAATGCTACTGACACCACATACGAGGCACGGGCGGTTCCCAATGAGGTTCACGGCGCCATCAGCTCGATGAACAGGCTTTGTGTGAAATATAACAGAGTCTAGGACTGCTTTTAGTGTCCTTGTGGGTTGGTCGGTAGCGTTCCCTAGTCCCACCCAGTAGGTCGAGGGTTCGATTCCTGGCTGGTGAGGTCGTTGATTATATATATATATATATATATATTGCATTAACTCGCCAGGCCAACATATATTTTTTAATGAACTGTACTACAGTACTATATTACTTACATACCGAGAGTAATATAAAGTGTACCCACGCTAATTTGGATTTTAATTCAAATTTTAGCTCGATTTGTGAGTTTCTGTTTTTGTTTTTAAAAAATGAATTAAACAGTTTGTATTTGGAATGAATCCGAAATAACCGAGCTGTTTAAAAAAGTCGCCTTGGCTGCCACATAAAATATCCTTTTTATAATTACAGTGCAAATATAAATATTTTTTTAAATATACATACAGTGATAATAAGTCAAATAATACAGTAATATGTAAATGATATTCCAAAAGTGTAATGGTCACACTGGTAAGTGAAGTAAAAACCCACATTGATGAAAGAATCTTGGAGCTGGTATACTAGAACCCTCTTCAGCCAACTAATAGAACAAAGCAAGGGAGAAAGACACAGAACAAAGGAATCGGGTCACATGACCTGTCTCGTTAATTGAGGAAGGGTGGGGATTAGGGATAATCTTCTTAATAACAGTATTGAGGATCAAGTCTAGGGTCCACTGACCATTCACCATTTTATTTTATTTATTTATTTTTTTTTACGGGGATTAGCCCACCCGGGCACAGATCACTGACCCACATCCAGGCCTGGGGGGTAAAAATGTAGTAATAATAATAATAATAATAATTCAGACTAAATAAAATGTATAATAAAAGATACAAAATTGAAAATAAAATAATAATAATAATAATAATAATAATAATTATAATAATAATAATAATAATAACAACAACACTTATAATGATAATAATAATAATAATAACAACAACACTTATAATGATAATAATAATAATAATAATAATAATAATAATAATAATAATAATAATAATAATAATAATAATAATAATAATAATAAAGTGCTCAGGAGTGAAGTAGCTACGGCATCTGTACAGCATTCCCAGCTTTCAGGATGCAGCTTTAGCAATGTTGAGGATGTCTGGCTTCCATGACATATTAGAGGAAATGGTGAGGCCTAGCATATCTATTTTAGAATTTGACAGAATGATTCCTTCCTGAAATGTGATTGGTGGGAAATCATCTAATTTGGAAAGTGTAATTGGTAAATACTGAGTTTTATTACTATTGAATTTCACCAAGTTTCTATTTCCCCATTCAGAGATGCTGCACAGATCTGCATTGATAAATGAAATGATATCAGCTCTAGAAACAGATCTAGTTTGAGAATTAGGGGGAAGGGAAAAATGTGAAGAAGGGTGAAGAGTCGAATCATCAGCATAAGAATGGATAGAATTAGTCATATTGTGAAGTACCGGTAAATCACTTGATAAAAATAAGGAAGAGAGAAGGTGAAAGAATAGAACCCTGCTGTAGGACACCACTATTGGTAGAGAGAGAGTTAGAGTTTAAATTAAGGTGCAAAAGTAATAATTGAATGTTCAACAATTTTTCTACTGAAGCTAAATTTGGACTTATAAAATCTATATGCGAATAGGCAGAGTATTATTGGTTTGTGAATATCGAATGGGGGTTTTAAAATATCAATTGTGGATAAGTAGGGTTGTGAATAGTAAGATATTCTTGTACTGTATATCTGAAGGCAAACCAGTATTTACATTGAGATCCTGGCTTACTGAATTAATAACAGTGAGGTTTGATACATAGGGCAATGATATGTATGGTTTACTTTATCCGAGGGTAATTTATCCTAAATCATTGAATGTGTTACCTGACATTGTCAACAGTGATTGCTGCTGGGAATGGTGATGCCTCAAGGAGGAATTTCAGATGGAGTTCAGGTGATGTGAGTGTAAACCTTTGAGGTGACGTCAGGTGTACTGGATACAAGGAGTTTTGTAGTGATGATTGTGCCAGTCCTTTGCTGTAACTACTGAGGAGGGCAGCAATGTGGGTTTTCCCTAACATCTATTTAGTTTCATGAGTGGCGAAGAGTCTGCTTTTTGAACTTCATTATGGCTTTTTGTAAATTATGTGCACAGCCAACAAAGATCAGTGCAAGTCTAACTGTGTCTACCAGTAAGCTTGTTACTGTGAGACGTAAACAAGAATTTGACAGTGAAGAAGAAACGCCTAGAACACCCTGATAGTTGGCAAACTAATTTTGAGGTATTCTGTCAGGAGTACAAGGAGGACCTGCCAAGCTTCAACAACCTGTCAGGATAGTTGGCTGTCTTTCAGTATCACTGGCAGAAAAACTAGGCTGCTGGTTATGATATACCAAGTGACATCCGACAGACTCTCCAGAGCATCGACCCCATCCTCTTCCCTAATGTGATGGCTGCCAAGACAGTGCTGGGCAGTTGTGTCCATCAAAACTGCGAGTTTGAAGCGCATTACCCCCAACATTGAAGCTCAAAACCTGTCTCAGAAATACTATAGGCCTGGATCGTCTTAATTGACTTGCTCTCACTATTCCATTGAACTTGATGTGACCATCATTGTGAATAAGTTTACTAAGATACATCCTCATAGGATGGAATTAATTAACATCATGAAGAGTTATGACTTACAGTATTATAATTATCTTGCTAGGTACATTTAGTGCTTACAGACAATGACCGTTATACAATGGATCAATCTGCACTCGATCAGTTTTACCATGTAAAAAAAATTAATGCCTTTTACCACAATGCAGTGACTGAAGTTCTGTTTTAAGATGGTTGCTACTCGAATGCTTTTTCTGCATTGTCACTGCTATGAAAAAATGATGTGCAATAACTCGCAATATTCGGAGATATCATGATGCAATATTTGAATGGCATAACATGGAAGTTTCTGCCCCTCTCCTGTGATTGCCATAAAACACGGATAAACTCACACAGATTGCCAATACTGTATACTGCTTCCTATTGCATAGAGGTTACACTAATCATCCTTTTTGCTTGTATATTATAATACAAAGCTACAGTTTGTATTTAAGATTTCCCAAGAAATGGATTTTTTAGCTTTAAAAGGTTTATAGAATGGATATAGTTATTGTAGCAGTCACAAACTGAATGAACTGAGAAAGTATTTTATGTATTTTGAGAATTTCAAGGATATTTGCTGTAAAACTGCCTAATCACTGAAGCCTTGACACTCATTATTTTATTATTTCATAAATTTTGATTAATACTGTACATATATTTTTCATATTGTGTCTAATGATACTGTGTATGTCATCATCCTAAATACAGTGTTATCCCACCAGGTTAAAAGACCAGCAAAGAGCAGTGTGGAAGTTAACTGAACTCTCTCAACACTCCACTGATGCTGGTGTAGGGTCATTAAGGGCTAAATTTGATGTAGCAGCTGGTCCTTCTACCCCGGCTACTGTGTCAGCCCAGTTCAACTGTGAAGGAACAACTGTCTCAGGCTTGGAATTTAATCTTGTTGGCTCAGGATACAGAGTTTCTCTCATTAAGAAGAGATTTGTTTCAGGTGAGTTTCATTAGTAGATATATGTTGTTTGAAATTGCAGTACTGACACTCCTCGGGTTATGTATTTCCAACATGAAAGATACTCTCCGATAAGTCCTATTTAAAATGAGCACCAAGTAATTCCCGGGCCGGTCAGGGATATTTTCAACCATACCATACAAGCTGTATGGTATGTTATGGTTATTTTTGAACTTGCAATTTTGGGTTGATACACTATGTAGTTTTTTATTTATTTATTTATTTATTTTTATTTTTTTTCCATACATACACAATCTTACAAACAAAATGTGGGGATGGGGGGGGGGGGTAATTGCCTTAAAGTATAAAGTTATTATAACTCTTAATTTCAGGGAGATGCTTTTTTATGCCATTATATACACACAATCCTACATACAGAAAGTGCAAAAATAAATCAAAGCAGGTTTTTTCTAAAAAACAGTTTTTGTGATATAGCCCAGAAGCGACGCCTAGCTTATACCTAGGTAATGTTAATGCCTAGCAATAACTTGCCAGGCCAACATACAGGGAATTAAAACATCTAATAATTACTTAATAAGTAATATTAGGAGGACACGTCGCTACCTGGCATTTAATTGCAATTCTCGAAACCCCCTCCTTCACCCCCCATCATATGCACTGCCACCGTCATCTCTTGCCTTAGAGCGAGCAGTAAACAAAAGTCAACTCTCGAGGGGTGGAGATGGGTGGGTTATCGGCGTCGCATTCTGGGCTATATCACAAAAACTGTTTTTTAGAAAAAAACGGCTTTTTGTTCAACCCAGAATGCCATGCCTAGCTTGAATACCCGAGCAGGAGGTGGAGAGGGAGGTGACGTTGCGTACAAGGCTCCGCTAGCTTAGGTCCAGATTAAACCGTTTGGAAGATTTCCAAAATTAGGAACATTTACCGGAAGGTAAAATTATAATTTACATATCTCAATGAGGATACTCACTTTATTCTGATGAGGAAGAAGGTGCTGGTTGTGGAGATTGACTAGCTGTCTTTGGAAGTTTTTGAAGGTCTCCAAAAGCCCATTTCCTTGATCTGACTGAGGCTCTTATGCCGCAGAAAGGCCACAGACCCTGCTTATTTCCTGGTGTCATGTGCCAAAAATTTCTTGCCAGGGTCTGCTTGATTCACTAATTGAGATAAAGATTTTGTCATTTGACTAGAAGACAATTTCTTACCATCCCTGGATGAGAAACAATAGAGGCCTCGATTAGGGAATCTGGTTAACCATTCCTGAAGATTTTTAACTGGGCACAGTATATGAGGAACCCTTATCTCATCCATTAGTCATTTTATCCTAATAGGTTGAGCTTGAAAATCTTCTCTTTCATTTTTTCTTAGGATCTCTGTAGGAAAAAGGGCAACATCCTCCTCAGTAAATACCAATAATGATGGATTATTGGAAATTGAAATCAGTTCACCGATTCTCATACCTGTTGCTATTGCTAGAAGGAAGGCTGCCTTCTGGAGTAATTTATCCCTGTTCAGATTTATATTTTAATTAGGCCCCATAAGAAATTTAGTAACTTTTTCCAGAGACCAAGGTGGGATTCTCTTAGGCCGAAGGGGTCTCTGAATGAAAAAGGACGATCTGAGCATATGATAAATCCTTGGGTTCAAAGTACAGTGACCCCTCCGTTAACGAACTCAATCCGTTCCAGAAGGTTGTTCGTGAACCGAAAAGTTTGTTAACCGAAACCATTGTTTCAATGGGTTTTTGGGTAATTGGTTCCAGCTCACCGAAAATTTCCTAAATTCAACAAAAATGGTAGAAAAGTTCACTTACTTTGAGGTGTGTATGTAGAAGGCTCCTGGATGATGATGATGATGATGGGATTTAGAATGGGGGTGGAGGAGAAGGAAGAAGAGAAGGCATTGGGGTGGAAGAGAAGTCACCCCATGGTGCCATTTCACCCATAAAATTTTAGCTCTCTGGTGTAATTCAAGATTATTTTCTTTAAATCAACACTGCACTGCATTATATATTGTCAATATGTAAAATATATTTCAAAATGACCAATAATTTGCTTGGAAACACAGAAAAAAGCGTTTAGTTGAAGAGAGTCTCAAGCAAGATGTTACCTCCAGTGAAAACAGAGAGAGACTAACTCCTGTTTGCTGTGTTAAGAGGCTGGATGCCTCGCATTAAACTAGTCACTTTACCTTCAATTATGTTCAATAATTGTTAAAATGACTAAAAAATTGAATATTAAACTTTTAAAATTATTGAATAGTATAAACTTCTTGATATTTTCTAAAATAGTAAGGAATTTAAGCCCTAGAACCGATTAATGTATTGGCGGACTGATACTAAAGCTGGTTGCCCGGTCAGTGCAAGCGAAAACATGTTGAGGTCGGTTCGTAAGAACTTCGTTAACCGAATTGAAGATCTTTATGGAAGGCAGTTCGTTAATCGAAATTACGTTAACCGAGGTGTTCGTTAAACGAGGGGTCACTGTAATATTAAAACCCCAAGCCAGAGGGTCAACCAATGCTGATTTATAAGACGCAATTGTCGATCCTTGAAGGCCTTTAACTCTGAACAGAAATTCTAAAAATTCTAACACAACTGTTTCGACGATGATTCTAGAGTGGCTAACTTGATAAATTGTTGAAAAAGTTTCCAAGCTTTCTCATATTGCATAGAAGTTTGGGGTCTATGACCTGCTAATACTTGGTTAGCTATATTGGAATTACCCAACAACCTATTTAAACTCCTTTTGAGAAACTCCAAGCGTGAAGTGCCAAGGATGTCTCGAACTGAGAATGAAGTACCTGGTCTAGACATTCTTGTTGCAATTGTAGCGGATGCAGGCACCAGTCCAACAGATCCAGGCACCAAGGTTGTAGGATCCAATATGGTGCAATTAAGAAGACCTTGCCTTGGAAGGATCTGAGTTTGTGAACCACTTTGGGCAATATTTTCACAGGTGGGAACAGATAGATTGAATTCCAAAGGTTCCAATCTAAGAGTAGAGCATTTCCTAAAAGATTCAATCTCTCCAGAGATGCATAAAGTGGCATCTTGTGATTTTTTAGGGAGGCAAAGAGATCTATCTTTGGAGTTCCAAACTTCGTCACTAGACTCTTGAACTCTGAGACCTTTTGGGACCATTCTGTTTCCGTCGATACTGGTCGGAGACGGGACAGCGCATCTGCCCAATTGTTTTGTACTCCCGGTATATAAGTTGCTTTGAGGTAAAGTGTTTGTGTTACAAACTTTGAAAAAAATTTTCTGACATTTGTAGAAGAGGCCAAGACCTGGTTGAGCCTTGATGATTGAGACAAAACACTGCCGTTTTGTTGTCCATGGCAAACAAGATCCCAGGGAGAGGAACCTATTAGATTGTCCAATTTTGTCCACCATAACAGATGATTCTTGATCTGAATAGGGAGAGAAGAAGCAATATTTCTGCTTCTGTGAAGCAACTCCAAGCCCAGATGAGACAGTTGGTTTTTCCTTAACTTTCCCAAGGAAACCACTATTGTGGCAAAATTTAACAGACCCAGAAGTTTTTCCCAATCGTGCCAAGAAACCTCGTGCTTTACACAAAAGGCTTCGACTTGGTTTATCACATCTGTTACTTTTGCTTCTGGTAGGCTGACTGACTGCGGATTTGTATCCCACTGGAGACCTAACCAATCCAATTTCTGACATGGTATTAAATTTGATTTGACCTCTTAGCAGAAGCAGGCTTGTCTAATTGGGGATTAATTCTCTTACCTAGCACCAATAAACCTAAACTTTCTGCCAACTTGGGATCTTTCCATTGTTTTACATTTAAAAATTTACTCTTCATGACCTTATTTCACCTATTTTTAATTTGGATCTGCAATAATTTTTTCTTGTCTCCTGTGGCTTGATTAAATTGAAAAATTTGATCACAACAAACTGCACAATCCATTAGTGAAAACAGGTTGTTTGAGACACAGCTGCCATGAATTATGCAAGCCATATGAGGATCTATCTTAGTAATCCAAGTGGCTCTACATCCTTGATAATTACATGTAGTACGGTCCCCTTGGGTCTTGGGTGAAACTACTACTACTGAATTCACATTCTCTACTGACAGACAATTCCTTGTATGTAGTGTATGAGCTGAACTTTCTAGTCCTTGTAGCTCATCACTCAATACTAGCTCCTCAGGGACAGTCCCATAGTCGCCTCCATCATCCATTAGTCCAGACTCCTGCCCTTTATCCTCCAGTTGCACATCACTCATCTAAACTAGGAGGAACACTATGAGTCACATTGTATCGTTATAAAAATGTAAGGGAGATAACATTTTCTCCCAAACCTAACCAATATGACTCGTAATTGTTATATTATTAGTACCGGTAAGTTAATTCAATAAGATCTCTTGTTGTTATATAAGTTATATAATGCCTGAGTGAGCACTATCATCCGGCAGGGTTAACAGTGCTGAGCTGCTAGCATAGCTCTCCATTGGCAACATCGTTCACCATTACTCTAGCAATATTTGTTGGGTTAAGAATTCCACCCTGAATGGTTTTCATATAACCCATATAAGGATGCAAGGTCCATCTCAACATAACTCTAGAATGCTAGTAAGACCGGGAGGTCAGCATTCCGGAAGGAACGCTAAGTCTAGCATCCTCGTTAAAGTTCGCTTGGAAAGGCTGAATACCGGGAAAAATTCTGGGGGGAATTTTTTTTTTTTTTTTTTCACCCAACATAAAAAATCCATTTTTTCTTTTCGCATCTGTACACCAGACTAAATGGGGTAGATCCTGTGAAGAAAAAGCTCAAGTCCAAAAAAAGTAGATCTATAGGGGAGGGGGACCTGGACATAACACTGCTTATCTGGACTGTTTTAAGAAAATCAGTTGTCATATTGTTATTCATTAGAATGAACCCTTGAAGATTCGGACTCTGTAAATCCGGATTTTGGAAGATTCGAACCAAAAATTTGGGGGTTCTGGGTTAAGATGCCTCCCTAAGAAGCATTCCCAAAACAGGGTGAAGGTAG